AAAAAAAAAAAAAAAAAAAAAGGCTTAGCAATATTGTGGACAGCCCAGAAATGTCTCAGTTGTAACCCTTGCCAGACTTGGATTCTCCATTCCCTTTCAACAGCACAAGCCTTGGTCCTTCTGCTCCATATTTTTCTATTCTTCCCAAAAGATGTGCATACAATTCCATTTTTATCCAAGGTTTTTAGTTCTATTTTTTCTTTTCTTTTCATTTCTTTTCTTGGTCTATAAATTTTTTTTATTTTTTATTTTATTTTATTTTTTGTACCAGGAATCAAACTCAGGACTTTGTTCTTACAGGGCAAGCACTGTGAAACTGAGCTAAATCCCCAGCCCTTTTTTGACTTTTTGAGACAGAGTTTTGCTATTCAGTTTAGGCTGGCCTTGAACTCACTATTACAGCTCAGGCTGGCTTCAAACTTTCTGTAATCCTTCTGCCTCAGACTCCCAAGTGCTAGAATTACAAGTGTGTACCACCAGCTTGACTAGAAAGCGGATTCTAAATTTACAGAGAGATAGAAGTGAAGGTGTACTATTGCCCCACTACTTGTCTACAGCTGCTATAAGCTCTTTGGTATCTAGTCAATATTTTTTACATATAAATACACATTGGAATGTTAGCTATAATATTAAGCTTTGTTTGTTTTGTTTTTCCACAAGAACAAAAGAAACTGATCTTTTTGCTCATATTCATAACTCAGGCATGGGATTGTCATGAATGAAATTACTTCTTGAATTTAAATTATAGCTTTTCTTCATATTTTTAGCAGCTTTATATTTTTCAGTCCAGGAGCATTCTCCTCACAGATTTTATAGCTGTTTCACCACCGTGAAAATAAAAGACATCAAAATCTGTGCCTCTATCGTAGAGGAAAAGCACATGCTCCATCAAACATGAAAGGACTCATTCAGAGACAAATTTCCTGGTAAGACCATCTAGCTTTAAAATAGAGACTGCTTTCATTCACCATTTGATCAAAACGAGAGCACCCAGAAAGCTGTCCCTAGGTAAGAAATCTGAAAAGGTCTCTAAATAAAGATCCCTGCCTCAGAAGATTCATTAGGTTAGAAGCAAAAAGACTAGGGCGAAGAAGTTATTTAGTTCACTTCGTGGGGTCTTAGTTTATCAACTATCTCTGGGAATGTAGTAACTTGACAGTGGTTATTGCTTGCTCAATTTTCCCTGAAGTAACTCTGTCTGCATTGGTCAGAGAACAGAGTTAGCCAGGCAGAAAGAGCAAATCTAGGAAATTGCCAATCACCTTACTGTCCTCCTTGACATCTATTATTTTGTATGATGTTCTAATATTTCACCCAGTTAATCTTTAATGTCTTTGCCTTGAGGTCCTAAGTAAGCTAAATTGGTTAGATCTAACAAGCTGACTCTAATTTTGAGATACAACATTTACAGCTGCAGGAAAAGGAATTAATAATTAATTAATAGATTTTTATACTGCCCTTTATTTGGAAACTGCTGAATATAGTGCCTTCTTAGAAGAAATGTCTGCAGGTTTGTTTTTTTTTCTGTTTACTGAGTTTCTCTGAAATTTAATATGGCCATCTCAATGTCTTTTTTTTTTCCTCACATTTTCTTAAAGAATACAATTAAAATTTAATTCATTATTCTGGGAACTTTCTTTGACAAGAAATAGTTAACCATTTTGTATTTGTATCAGGAGCCTAGAAGTTTCCTATAGAGTAAATCAGTTTATAGAATTATTCTAAAGTGTGTGCCAATAGTAGATTTTCAGGATAAACCTGGTTTTGAACCATTTACATTTAACAAGGTGACTGACACAGATTTGGAGACACCAAGTCAAAAAAAGAAAGGTTGACTTGGTGAGCTAACTTAATAAAAGACAGATATTGCATTGGTGTGCCAATCAGCTATACCACCTCATTCCATTTTAGTTGTGAGCCATCTGGAATGTTTGCTGAGGTGGGAACTAACAGATAAGTCAAGATTCTCTTATCTGCCTATAGCAGCTTTGAGATTTTGAAGCTATTGCCTGGATTGCTTTCCCAACACAACACACTCACACATTTCATGCACAAACTGTCATACACAGTGAAACAATTTCTGTGTAGAAAGCTGTAATTCCTGTTACCTTCTCTGAATATCATTTCATCAGCTCTTGTTTCTTGAAGAGAAAGATCTGTGATAGCCTTATGAACAATAAAGAGGTGCTCTTCTGGGTTTTCTGGGAAAATATAAGTATTGCAACATTTAAAATATACATAGTTCAAAGATTAAAAATTTGTCAATTTAGACTCTAGGTAGATATCTTTAATTTCAATTATGATTAAAATTACTGTTTGAATTCTGATTCCTTTATTCAGTTTATTTAATGAGTAAAGTCTTTATTGATTCTTTCCCTTAATATTTATATAGTGTGTAGAACTGTGGATTCAGTCATTTTCAGGTATATTCAAGACATTCTGAATTCTTTTTTTTCAAATAATGATGGGGTAACAATAACAAACTGTACTTAATATTTAATCAACATTTAATAATTCTTCCCATCATCCCACAAATGTAGTTTTTGTTATTCTGCTTTTTGCTAATGAAAAAAACACAAAACCTCAGGCTTACAGAAAATTTTCTAGGATCACACAGCTATCAAACAGACAAGGCTGGATTTATCAGAAACAAAAGTTTAATCCTTGTGAGATGCAGCCCTAGCAAAATAAGGAGCTATATGTTTTTGGGCGTCCTGTTTATTCTTGTCATAGCAGTTTATCCAAAAAGAAGAAAGGATAAAAAATAAAGTTTCAAGTGAGTTCATAAATCAAAACAAGCAAAGTACAGAGAAAGGGAAACACATTACCTTTCGGGGTCTTCTCATCCATGGACAAGTTGAGGAGCATATTTCCTTGTGATTTTCCACTTTCTTCCTGGTTTCCTTTGGTGAGTGAACCTTCACTACTGAGCTCAACCCTGTGGAATGGTGAGGTCCCATCCACATCAGTCGTGTCATCATCGTTGCGCTTAGTGGTAGGTTGTTGATCATTTTCTGGTGGGCCATCCCCGTTACACTCAGCCCCACTCAATGTTGCGGAAACATCTGTCATGATGTACACTGGGGTCTGATCTGGAGAAAACTTTGGGGAAACTGAGTGAACAGATTCTTGATAGGATGCCTCCTCTTGTCTTTGAGTCCTGTAGTTCCAACTATTACTCTAAAAATACAGACTATTCACTCCGGTACATAATAACCAGATTTTATTTCCTAACCATGTCCAGACAGAGTTTAGGCTAAAAGCAACAGGATTTGTCAGATTTACCTCAAGTTCATGAGCAAGAATTCAGCCAATCATCACCTCCTTTGGTGCTGGGCAGTCCCACTTACAGAATTAAAGTTACCCTTTTGATTTACATAAACAAACAATCTGAGGCAATCAGGCTTTTGTGTTGTCTTGTAGAGGGGGACTTTCAGCTTGTCAGTTCCCTCTGGGAACAGAGATTTTTGTTCCTTTTCATAATGGTCCATTGTAATTTTCCTTGTAACAGGAGCCACAATTGTTCGACGGCTTTAATCCAGAGAGAATGACCACCTTGATTCATATTAGTTCTGTGTAACCAGCTTAACATTTCCAAACAGATTTTTGTTCAAGTAAAACCTCAGCTATTTTGTAGGGGACAATTGCATAATATTCTATTTATTAAAGAAAAAAACATCTTATAAAAGACCTGTAAACAGGACAACTTTATTTTTAAATAATTCTGGCAGCAGATTTCATGGTGTGTTTTCTGAGATCAAAGAAGGAACTTTAAAAAATAAAACAAATTCTACTGATTTGCTAGCACCAAAAATTTATAGTTTTTTTCAGAATTGCCCCACTACTTTGCAAAAGATGTTTATAAACAAATAACATAAGAAGATACAGCTATTTTAAAATAAACATATAAAATCATCAACTTCAACAAGTTGCAGTTGGAAACATCAAAAAAAAGTATATTTTTCCATCTACTGTTGTGGGGGGTGGTAAAGCAGCATTATCACCAATTAGCTAAGAGCACTGTAGCATTAGAAAGGATGACTCCCAGTTTAACTGAGTACTACCACTTAGCTGCCATGTGACCTTGGGCATGGCTCTCAGACTTTCTGAATCTTAAGTACTTCATCTGAAAAAGAGGGAAAGTGATGATAGCCACTTTAGAGATGTGAAGATAATGAAATAACACATATAAAGTGTTGAGATCAGTGCTTGACATATGGTAAATGCTCAATAAATGTAAGCTATTAGTATTAATACTGATTGTAGGGAAGGACATTATCACGCTTATGACATTTAGCCAGGCTTATCTCATTAGTATTTTCCTCTAGTTTATTTATGTCTCCTAAAGCCAAAACTGGCCTCTGAAAGTGTAACTTAATTTTCTCCATGAAGTTTTGCCTCTCCTCCATCAGAAATGCTCCCCCTCTTCTATGCTGGTATTACGGGGTGTGAGGATAATGCCCTCACACCAATGCAGTCTGCCCTCAGCAAAGCAGCTGATCAGTTAAAGTGTTTGCTAATGATAACCCTTTAGTTTTAAAAGAGGATATTAATTCTTGTCCTTTTGGGGATCCAACATGGAACACAAAATGACCCCAAAGCCCTGGTGCATGCTACTGTGTCAGTCTCGAGGCCAAGCCCTTGGCAGAACCAAATCCTCCAAGTCCTCATTTTCTGGTTGCATGTCGTTTCTTTCACAACAGTTTCCCTGATCCATGGGATTAGGACGGAAGTCCTGGTACACATTGTTTTTTTCCCTCAGAGTATGCTTCACTGTTGTAATTAAACAAGTTCACAATTATCTCTGTGATGTCTCTTTCGTGGATCAGAATCTAAACTTTATCTTGGCAGCGGTCATCTTAGCTTCTTTATGTTTCCCAGCATGTATCACCTGAACAAACTAGGTCCTCAGTTTAAGATTTTTATATATGTATATTTTTAAAAATTTTACCACCAAAAGAATATATTTTGAAATGTTTTCTATAGGAAGGGAAGAATAGTGGTTCAAGGATGACAAGCATGTGGCACAAGTGTTATCCCGACCCCATAACATCTCTAATAGATCCTAGAGCTCACTTGTTAGTCACCAGCTCTTCTCACTCTAGCACGTGAATTCTTCATTTGATTGACTTTTTAATTTCTTAACTCATTTAACACCAGTGAGCCACTGTTCTGCTTCATGTGTATAAGCCCCAAAATGAAAAATCTTCAAAACAGCCCAATGAGGTAGGTGCTGTTTTTATCCCTATTTCACACACAGAGAAATGAAGTTTGAAGGGTTAAGGAACTGATTTGAGGTCACATGGCTAGTGAGACTATTTCTTTTTCTCTCTTTGAATTTATTGGTACATTTTAGGTATACAGTACAGTTACATTCATCACTGGAATCTTGTACCTTTACCTGACAGGTCTTGGTTCTCATTTTTTCGCTTTATCCCTGCCCTCCCTTCACCCCCTCCTCCCTTCCCTATTTACAAATACTTTATTTCTATTTTCTTATATTTTTCCCCTTATTACCTTTCCCCTACCCTACCCACTTCCCCTACACCTTAAGCCCTTTTCTTCCTATTTCACATTGTCAATTACATCATTAGGATCTTATGTACCACTATAGTTTTTCACACCAGGGAAACTATTTGGTATTTATACATGTGTGACTTATTTATTTCACTTAGGAGTATATCCTCAATATGTATCCATTTCCTATGAATGACTCTTATTTCTCATCCTTTGTGGCTGAGTAGTATTCCATTTTATAGAAAGAAAAACACATCTTCTTTATCCAGTCTCCAAATGATGGACAATTGGGCTGTTTTCAAGTTTTGGCTATTACAAACTGTGCAGCTCTAAACATAGGTGCACATATATCACTGTGATATGATTCTTTTAATTCTTTTGGAAAGATACCCAGCAGAGGGATGGCTGGGTCAAATGGAACCTCTAATCCCAGCTCTTTGAGGTATCTCCATATTGATTTCCATAGTGGTTGCACCAGTCTGCACTCCACCAACAGTAGAGAAGGGTTGCTTTCTCCCCACAATCCCGCCAACATTTGCTATTGGTTGAGACTATTGATAAAGAGTTAGCAGTATACGTGATGCCAAATGCCATCTCTCCCCTGGCCATCCAAGTCTCCTTGAGCCAGATCACAGAGGGACCCAGAGTTAACCGTGTTGGCTGCTGAGACAGCTGTAGCCATAAGAAATCAATGGAGGGCCTGAGGTACATCAAGGCCTTCCCAAGAGCCAGGCACTTGAGGGTGTCCTTCCAAGGTGTTCAACTAGCAAGTCTATAGATGAGAAGTATTGAGTGAGAGCTGATAGGGAAATGAAGGAACTAGGACCACAGCTTAGGAGAAACAGAGACTTATGAGATTGCTAGATTCTTAAAGGCAAGCAATGGAACTAATTCCACCAAATATTCAGCAATAAAAACAGAAATACAGAAAAGCCCACGGCAGCTTTAAAGGGCCTATGGCCAATCACTCTCAGTTGTGACTAACAAGACATACAGCAAGGGTTATGGAATTCAGACCCATTGTCTCTCCTACTTCTAGACTTCTCTTCCCCTATAGCAATTACAACATATAACCTACTTTTTATGAGAATGTATTTATTTATAGATTATTTCCTTTCTAATGTTCTATACAGAATTAGAAATATTTTAAATTTGGAAAGATGGAAAAAAGACCCAGATTCTCTTAGCATAGATAAACCAGAGTATTCACCTCTATAAAAAGTGTTTTTATGCTGCCCTACAAAATAATGGATGTCAGAAAATTTATCATTTGTTATTTTTCCTACAAGTAGGTGGCAACATGAGATCCATTTAGCACAAAGATTAGTCTGACCACCACAAAAAACACAAGTTATTTTGTCTGCAAAGAAGTAAGTAATCATCCATTGTTTGTAACCACCTGTGGCTTAGAAAGTATGTTGAAATATGCATTAATGATCTTTAATGTATAAATAATGTCCACTCTATGAAACTTGATTTTTATTTTATTTTATTTATTTATTTATTTGGTACCCAGGATTGAACTCTGGTCCTTGCACTTGTGAGGCAGGCAGTGGAACCACTGAGCTAAATCCCTGGCCTGAAACTTGATTTTTAAAAATATTATTTGGGTTTGGTTTTTAGATCAAATCATTAGGCATGGAGAAATATCTTTTATAAGTGTTAAAATAAATGTCCATATGATATATTTTAAATAAAAATAATATAATTTTCTGGACTATTTGACTTCTAGTTATTATTCTTAAAGACAAGTAGTTCCATATAAATGGAATCATTATCAAAGCAATAGCAAAATATAGTAAAAGGACCATTCACACATGATTATAAAGTTTCATATAAGTTTATGTAAAAATTCAAACTCTATTTGTTAGTACAAAATGCTTAATATTAAGGCTAAAATCCAGAAACCGGATTGGATTTGGAAGAAAGTCATAAAATCCTAATCTTTGATGACATGTGGAAAGCAAAGCAAGAAATTAATGTTATAGCTAAGAGATTGCAAATGAGCACTGAATAAAAACAAATAAATTTAGAAGATAAACTTTTCGTGTTGGCAGCTTGGAGCCAAATCTTACATGAATATGTTTACATAGATGAAATAGAGGTACCATCAGGGTTGAAGCTGAAAGGTGGAACCACTAAGATATCAATCTATCCATCTATCTGCTCACCTACCTCCCTACCTAGTCTGAAGAGGTTTGGCTTTGTACAACTGTGGGTACTGGTGAAGTTGTTTGTATTAATCTGTTGTCACATCTGGTGCCAGAGCTTGAAGTCTATAGGAAGTAGAAAAGGGAAGATGGACATAAAGAGGGAGAGCACAAGTTGGATACACAATACAAGCTGGAATACTCAAGGACGAGCTGGAACCTGTGTCAGCTCTCACTGCTACTGACCTTTCCAGTATGAATGTCTTCCAGGAGAAGTTGGACCCTTTGGTCGTGGCGCAGTACACAGATGCTGAAAGACCCAGAGGAAGTAGTTGCAGGAGTACTTACAGCACAGGTGCTGCCCATCTGCTGTTGTGAGCCAATGGATCAGCAGCAGTGTGTGTGAGCTATAAAATGCTGCAATGTCACTTGCATTCAAAGCTCACATGAGAATCTCTGTTTTGTCCTTTTTTTCTAGAAGCAAAGAAAAGTGAATTCAGAAAATGCAGTTTAGCATAGTCAAGTTGACACCTAACAGTCACCAATGCTACTAATGACCCACCAAATTTTCTATGAAGAATAGAGTAAGGCCTCAAGGTAATGTACAACTCTTAATAACCTAAAACAGCTAGGATAATTCAAATTAGTTCACT